GGATGGGAATCACTGCACTCCACAGTGGTTAAAAGTACACAATGACATGCAAGATCTCACTTTGTCACTTACCATGTGACAATGGAAGTTAATTAACTTATCAAAGTCTAGTTTTTTTAATCTTTAAAATGGGAACACTACTAGTACTTTTGTCATTGGTTGACGGTAAACAAGCCAGCCCCTGAAAAGCAACAAAGTACCTGCCACAATGAAAAAGACAATGGAACCATGATAATGACCAATATTTAGGATCTTGCATTTTGAAAGGTCTTTGATCTAAGACACCTGTATAATGACATTCATATTGATCAATTTTTCTCATCTATAAAATGAAAGTGATATATTAGTGTGGTGGTGAGAATTCAACGAGAAAATACACATCAAGTGCCAAGCACAAGACTTAGCCTAAAAGAAGCTGATTCCCTTCCATTTTCTCTTTACCAAAAGCTTAGGCCAATTCAATTAAAGAACAATTATCAGGAACCTTTAAGCTCCCGACATAAGTGAGACCTGATCCCTGCAAGAAGATGACAATATGATGAAAGTGCCCAGCATGAAGTATGAGACAGTGAGAACCCAGTGCTACAGCAGGGGTGGTTAGAGGATGGATTTCATCTTTGTGCCCCACTATTGGGGCACAGTGTCTGACCTTCACGCAAGCAAGTGAATGAATGTGGGGATGCCTCACTTTAGGCAAAAGTGATCTACAATATTAGGATTTGTACAAAAGATAAAAAGAGACAACTTATTTTTGAAAAATAATTCAATTTACAAGTGTATTCTCCATAGGATTTTTTAAAGGCACCATAATACATTTTTAATTTTTATCTTTATTTTATACATGTTGGTATTATTTATGCCCATTTCATTCCTAAAGACACTGTGGGCCACATGGCACTGAGTTAGATAAGTCTCCCCAGGGTCACATGGCAAATAAATAGTGTTTGCAGACACCCTGATTATTATTATTATTTTTACAATTCAGTAGTTTTCAGTACGGGTTTTTAGTTGTGCAGTCATCACTACTATGTAATTTTAGGACACTCTCAAAAGATATCCCATATCCATTATGAGTCACTGACCATTTCTCCCTTGTCCCAGTCCCTTGACAACTCTAATCTAGTTTTGTCCCTATTTCCACAGTATTGTTAAATCCCCCTAATGTACTCATATAATTCAATTAAAAAAGAAAAACTACTTATAAAGATTTTTAGGAACACATTGTTGTATAGTCACCAACAGAATTACTTATTTTAACTTAATTCATTTTAAAACTACAGAGTAGGGTTGGCCGGTTAGCTCGGTTGGTTAGAGAGTGGTGTTATAACACCAAGGTCAAGGTTCAGATACCTGTACTGGCAGGCTGCCAAAAACAAAAACAAAAACACACAAAAAATTAAGATCCCTAAATCTCTTGTTTTCTTGAACTTTATTCCTCAGGAATTGAAATCACTAACTACAAACAGTTTCTCTTATGTTGAATTCTCTTTGGCAAGAATCCAAATTTTTATTTTTTAAAAATGTTAACGTTGAAGAGAATGAATTGGATAGCTAGTTTATGACTTTTGTATTTCTTTTGCTGAATTTAGCAAAATTCCTTATTTAATTCAACATGAGGAAAAATAAAATGGGAAAAAGAAAATGTTTCAGATTGTTTTCCTGATCTAAAACATGCAATATCTCCCCTAGTTAGTTGATGTGTGTCTATCTTGTGTCCAAGGTAGAACGCAAGCTCCTTAAGGAGGGGAATCAAAGCACACATTCATTACTGTGGATCTGCTCTACTACACTGACTGCATTGTGTTTTATATTTTATTATTGGTCCCAATTACAGGCATAAAAATCAGAAAGAAAAACCCAAATTTGTTTTCTAATTTGAAAAACATGATTAAAAATGTTCTCTTCTTCTGGCAAGTCACCTTAGCATATGTATGTAGTGTTCTACTTGCCACTTATTAGGGCACCTAAGGAAGTCATATAAAAAGCATACCCAAATTTGTTTTCTAATTTGAAAAACATGATTAAAAATGTTCTCTTCTTCTGGCAAGTCGCCTTAGCATATGTATGTAGTGTTCTACTTGCCACTTATTAGGGCACCTAAGGAAGTCATATAAAAAGCACGGTTCCTGCTCTATAAAAATTTATGAGTTTTCCACTGTGATGTCCCAAGATAAAGTCACAAATTCCAAGGCTATATCTAGAAAGATCATTAAAGACCATCTGGTCTAATGAGCTGTCATTTTATTGATAAGTGTAAAATGAGAAGTCATGGCTTGCCTAAGCAAATTAGAAAAAGGTTGTTATTCACTCTAACATCGAATATATTAATAAATGTACTTTCTCGCTGCTGTATGAAAACACACTGCTGAATGCAAAAATGCAGATTTGTGAAAAGGGTAAATAAGGATGGCTTACTTACAAATTACTCGAAGTATTCTAAATAGAAGCTTCCATAAAGCACAAAAACATTTTGTAAAGCTAGATTTATCCACAATTTTTCAGGAACAGCTCATAAAACAAGACTTCAGTATACTTGTACTGAAACTAAGTTACTAGAGAGAAAGGGAAGCCAACTATTAGTTGTGCATCAGGCTTTACCCATGCATCTCAATCTCTCAAAACTCTGTGAGGCTGGTAGAACCATCACTTCCTTTTACTGACAGAGCAGACTCCAGGAGACCAAGTAATTTGTAAAGAGGGGCTTCAATCACTAGCATATTCTAACATCATAAAAATTTAATTTAATGGCATATTCAACACAAATATCACACTATTATTCTCTGACCTTCATTTCCATGGCTGGCCTAATTATATTGCGCATATATACATAATCAATTTCCAAAGTGGCCTTCCTTTGAAGTGTATCAGACTTACAGGCAGATACATTTTTTTTCATTTTCATATCCCTCACCCTCTACTTCTAAGACAACAGATCTTCACCAACACCTTCTCCGTAATAAAATTTCAAGCTCTTTAACAGCAAAACTTAACCACACACAGAGTTTTCTTAAGTGAGCTGGTTGCTTCAGATTGACTTAATCAATGGTGTCAAATAAAATACATTTCTAGTAGGCATCAGTTGAAGAACTGGGTGACTACAATCTCTGGATCGCTCAAGTTCAAAAATAACAGGGAAGTTGAAAAAGGTATTGGGCGAGGACTTCAGACATCTTGGATCCCAGTTGTGGCTCTGCCAATTACAAGTCGTGAAAGGCCACCTAACTTTTCTTTCAAGTAACCAGAGATTGTAATTTTCAACCCGTCTTGTGCACAGGATTGTTTGGATGGTCGAGGGAGATAATGTATAGTTTGAGAAATATGGAGCTAGATAGCACCATTTACAGCAGGGAAAAGGAGACCAAGAGCGGAAAAATGACTTGAAAAGTCCACACAGCCAGCGGCTGATAGAGCCAAGACTGAAATTCATAGCGCTGGGCTTTCTAGTCCAGAGCCTCTTCCATTCCATCTACCGCCTTTTCCCTACAGCTTCTCTCCACTGTACTTTGCACATTCTTGCTCAACGTTCTTTGGGAGCCACTTCAATAAAATCAACCTAGTTTTCCTTTGGGAAAGTGTCATAGCTAATCTCAATTTATAAAGTTATACTTCAAAATGACTGTTTCCCAAGTTGAAGACTATAATATCTTAAAGCTGGAAACGCCCTCTCTGTTCACTTGAACTGATTTTCTACATAAATAAGAACATCACATCACTGAGATCTAAGTTTGGGCAAAGTGCTCACAACCATCTCTAAGGCCAAGAAAACAAATGCTTTGCAGGACACTTCAATACATATGAAATCTTCTTTGCAGCGTGTACACAATCAGATTGCTTTACATGCCTAAGTCAAGTCAAGCTCGTGCCATCAGCAGGATGGAGAAAAGAGCTGGGGTTGGATGGGAGGGAAGGAAGGAAGGAGACAGCGGTCTGGCGGAGGAACCCCGGGTTCTGCCGCCCACTCCCTGCCGACCTTGGACCAGTCACGTGAGAAACTCCCCAGGCTTCGTTCCCCCAGGGTGTGGAAAGGGGCGATGCCAGCAATACCCTGAGTGTTCCCCTCACAGGGAGGCTGGGAAACTGTTAGGCGGGACAGCGGACCGTGCGCAGGACCACGGGGTGGCAGGTCCCACCCCCGGCCCCGCGCGGGTCACTCACCGGGCCAGGATCTCTAGGAAGATCACGTTACTGCAGCAGCCCGCGAACACCAGGCCCACCGCGAAGGCCGGGCGCATGGCCAGTTCAGGGGAAGGGCAGCGAGCGCGCAGAGGAAGCGCCCGCCTATGCCGCTACCCCGGGAAGCCGGCCTGCTGTCCCCGCCGCGGCGGCACTGGACATCGCCACTGTCCCGGAGCGCTGCTCTCACCGGAGGCCGCCACAGACGCCGCCAGCCGAGGAGCTGTAGTTCGCAGTCAGCGCCGGCCCCATTCATCCAAGGGGGCGTCCGAGTCCCGGTCGGACTACACGTCCCAGGATGCCGCGCGCCTTACGTCAGGGTGTGACGTTGCCCGTCTCTGCCGGGCAGCTCCGCCAGAGAGGAGAGAGGGGCGGGGTGCCCGGCATACCTTGCGTGACCTGGGGCCGCGGGGCTTGCTGGGAAATGAAGTTCCAGCGCTCGGCCCCATTCATCCAAGGGGGGCGTCCGAGTCCCGGTCGGACTACACGTCCCAGGATGCCGCGCGCCTTACGTCAGGGTGTGACGTTGCCCGTCTCTGCCGGGCAGCTCCGCCAGAGAGGAGAGAGGGGCGGGGTGCCCGGCATACCTTGCGCGACCTGGGGCCGCGGGGCTTGCTGGGAAATGAAGTTCCAGCGCTCTCAGTAATTCTTGAGGCAAGTGCTCAGAAAGACATAAGTCCATCACCGTCACAACAAACTGTACAACTACTGACCTGTGACTCTTCGCTGGAAGTGTTCTAGCATCTGAAACAATTCTCCTGAACTGGGTGAAAGTAGCAATTGTTCTGAACTTACCTCCCTACTTCTAGGAAAGAATAGCGGACTCAGAATGTCTGAGGTTGAATCGTGCTTATCAGTCGTGCTATCTCAGGCAGGTTCCCAGAGCCCCAATCTCACCGTAGGCAGACAGAGAAGCAGTAATTCCCCTCTTACCTGGATGTTATGAGGTTAAAAGGTATGGTCTATGAAAAGCCCAACATAGTAAGTTAACTGAGTTACGATATTATTACTGGCGAAGCACCCCGCACAGTAATCGACCCTATTAGCAACTCTAGGATAAGGATTTCTTTAATTCATTGCTGTAATGTGCCCGCATCGTGCCAGCTCGAGGTGGGTGCTCATTAAGTATTAATTGTAACTGGTAGTAGGCATTCTATTCATGTCAGTTTCTGTTCCTACTCACCTTCTTAGGGCAGCCGTTCTCAAATTTTAGAACGCATTAGAATTAGCTGGGGTGCTTGCTAAAAATACAGATTTCCAGACCCCGTACATAAGGATTCTGATTCGGTAGGTATGAAGTAGGACGCAGTAATCTGCACTTAGAACAAGCACCTCAGATAATTCTGATGTGGTCTACAGGACACAGATGGGGAAAAACATTTTGAAGTATGTTGTGGATCTTGAAAAAGACTTCAGACTGTTCGTATTTCACAGGAAATAACAAAAATAATATAACATTCCAAAATCCTACTTAGCTTTTCACCGTGTACTTTGCTATTGCTGTTGGATTCAATGACAATTTAAATGTGGTAAAACACTGAGCGGTAGTGTTAACATTTTATACTAGGCACTGGGAAACAGAAAGGAAGCGTAAACATGTTGCTTCCATCAGAAAACAGTCTTGCTGGGTGGAGAAGGCATGCACACATTTTGTAAATAAAGAACAGTGCAGTACTATCCTATGTATATAGTAAGTGCTTAACAAATGTTTATTGATTCAGTGAATTAAGAGTTATGTTGAATGTCTCAGATAGTGCTATGAGAATTCAGTTGGAAGAAGAGGCAAATGTGCCTCCTTTTTACCATTAAAGATCTGATTGCTGATACAGGCGTTTTTGACAGTAGAAGTCCCTGGACATTGATAGTTTTCAAAGCACCTCAGGTAAATTAATTGTGCAGCTATAGTTGAGAACCATTGGAGTAAAGGAAAGAAACACCTTAAATAGCTGGTGTTAGAGACAGTATCAGCAGGTCACCTTTAAGGCTGAACCTTAGCCCAGTTAATCAGAATCACAAGGAGTGAGACCCAGGCATCAGTCCTCTCCAAAACTCACCAAATGATTCTAACGTGCCGTCAAAGTTGAGAAGTACTGCTTTACTTTAACTTTCAGTGGTTCTCAATCCAGGCTGCATAATAGAGTCACACAAAATACTTTTTTTTTTTTTTAAATAAAAGGAAGTATTAGTTCTATTTCAAGCCAAATAAATCAGAATATATGGGAGCAAGTCTCAAACAATAGCAATATACCCATCTCCACTGCAAGTAATCCTGCCAAGAGGAAAGCTGAGCAAAGCACCTTTTTCTCTGGATTTCACTAGAAATAATTTGTCATCACACAGACCTTCATTTTCCATATACCCCAAGAATTCAGGATCATTTAAAGGATGTCCTAAACATCTCTCATTAAATCTCAAATTAAAACTAAAGCATGGGCTGGCCAGTTAGCTCAGTTGGTTAGAGTGTGGTGCTGATAACAACAAGGTCCAGGGTTCGATCTCTGTATTAGCCAGCAAAACAAACAAACAAACAAACAAACAAAGAATGTGTAAGTGACTGAACAAAGAAATGGCCAGGGTACTATAATGCCTGCATGTGTTCAGTATCTTCCTTCCTTCCTCCAGATTTCTGTCTTGACCTACTGCAGTACAGACTAGTTTAACGTGCATATTAATTGCCAGGGATCTTGTTAAAATGCAGATTCTGATTCACTTGGCCAGTGGTGTGTTCTGATATTCTGTATTTCTAACAAGCTCCCAGGCGATGCTAATGCTACTGTTCTGTACCACACTTTAAAGAGCAGAAGCCTATAAAATAGTGACCCTAGAGACGTCTCTATCCCTCTCCTCTCATGGGCTCAGGGACCTTGTGCCAGCACACCTACACTTAGGCGTCTTCTCCTTAGATGCAATCATGCTCAAAGAAACTAACTTAACTTTCTTCCTCCTCCATTTTACCACCAAATATCTTTAAGAGTAATCTATATCCGTAGTCTCTTCTTTTTAAACCTCCATCTTCTTAAACTATTCTGGTCAAAGCCATATTATTGGAAGTAGTCTCATTTAGAGCCCTAATGACTTCTTAATTGTCAAAAACATAAACCACAGTCTCACTTGATCTGGCTGTGGCTTTCAAAAATGAAAGCCCCATTCTTCTTGACATTATCTTGTCCTATTTATAAAACTTGAGTCTCCTGTTTCTCTCTTCTCTGACTTACCCTTTTCGGTTTCCTTTGTGGGCTATTCCTCCTCTGATCACTGAGTTCTCTTTTCAAAGTTTCCTCACTTGTCCCCCCTCCTTATTGCCCTGACACTTTCTATTGATGATTTCAATCCCTGTAACTCCCACCATCACCATATGCATATTTACAGCCCCAATCTCCCTTATGTCCTGAATCCAAATTCAACTGCTCTGGAATCTTCACAAAGCAAACTCCTCAACATCAGTTCCGTACACATTTCATTACCTACCCTCCCTTATAGGTCTTTATTTCTATTAAGGATATTATTAACTTCCTTTTCTCTTTGGGCAAAAACCTGAAAGATTTCACAGTCTTCCTCTTCTTCCCACTACACATTTATTTGATCTTTACATCCTATCAATTCTGCCTCACAAGTATCTCTAGATCCCAGCCTCTTTTCCCTTCCCTTTGACATCCACTTTTCCTTGTGTAAAGGCCTCCACACACATCTTGGTACCTTCAGGCTCTGCCTTCTTCAAGCCATTCTCCATGTTGCTTCTAGACTGTATTTCCAAAAACAAGCCCCATATCCTCATGTCACACTGCTGTTCCAAGATGTCTGATCCAATTACTTAGTACCATGTAAGCAACCACCCCAGAATGTAGTGATTCAAAGCAAAAAGACAAAGCAAAACAAAACAACCCAATGTTCTCTCTCATGGTTCTGTGTGTTGACCATGCTCAGAGCGCAGCTGGTCTGTTCTTTTTTGTGGTTTCTCATGTAGGTGCAGTCAGCTGTTGGCCAGAGCTGGAGCCATCTGGAAGCTTGAATGGGTTGGTACATGAGATGGCTGGAACAGCTCTCTTCATGTGGTCTTTTTCATGCTGTGCTTCCTCACAACATGATCCAGGATGGTTGCACTTCTATGGTGACTGGCTTTCCCTAGAACAAGCATTGCAAGAGATCAAGCAGAAGCTGCAGTGGCCTCAGAAGTTACACAATGCCACTTGTACTACATTCTATTGGCTCCAAAGGACCAATCCAGATTCACTGTGGGAGGGAACTAACAAAGGCATCAGTGTGTGTATTGGAGGGGCATCTTTGAAGACTAGCTATATAATGCTAATTGGTTCCTTGTTGTAAAATCCACACTCGGTAGAAGGCATACAAACATCACAATCAAGCTTCAGTTCACCTCTCTAGTTTTATCTTCTGCCATTCTCCCCGGTGCTACCTGGATTCCAGCCACATTAAGTACTCTTTGCATGTTAAATACTCTTTGCCCTCTGAGTTTGCAGTGACTTTCAAAATTCATGTTCAGAATTTGTGTTCAGGGCCGAGCCCGTGGCGCACTTGGGAGAGTGTGGCGCTGGGGGCGCAGCATCGCTCCCGCTGCGGGTTCGGATCCTATATGGGGATGACCGGTGCACTCACAGCGCTCACTGGCTGAGCGCGGTGCGGCCGGTCCCAAAAATAAAAAAAAAGAATTTGTGTTCAAACAGAAGATGCTGTTCTGTCTTCTTGAATATCCCTTTCTCTTTGGCCAACCCCTATTCATCCTCTTATGGCAGTAGAGGACAGTGGATTGAGTAGATACCTCTACACTGTGCAGGGGGAAGGTGCCATGCTCAGACGTCACATTTCTGTGTGTAGCTTTTCAATCCCCTATTCATGGCTCCCTTCATACCTCCAGCCTCCATCCATACCTCCACTAATCCATTAATTATGTTGCGTTATAGTTATCTGCTTTCATGTCAGTCTCTCCTTCTAGACTGTGCCCTTTGTGCATGAATAACTAATTTATCTCTAGATCCTCAGCATCTTACATAGTGACTGGTACATAAAATGAACATATATTTTGTATTGACTGTATCGATGAATGAATGAGCTTGACTTAGTCGAATAATTCACACCTCATAAATATGTAATATTTTCAGCCTGACTAATTTTTAAAATGTAAACATCAAAAATGTGCTGCTCAATGAGTTTGCATAAACGATGATATATAACCGACACTCAGGTCAGGAAACAGAACATTACCAGTGT